TACCTCTTCAAAGATGACTATTTACAGTTCACTGATATCATCTGAGCCTTCTTTGGGTTTTATGGAATGGAACCAAAATCCTTTGAAGGTATATTTTCTTCAACCTACTTACCTAGCTTGGAATTTAATTCTGCCTCCTAATATTTGCTTTCTCCTTTGTCATCTGACAGTTAACCTTCTCAACCAATGTATTAGTCAGGACTCTCTTCATTACAATACAATAAACCCAATTTAAACTTTCTTATGATAAAAAGGAATACGTTGGCTCACATAGCTGAGGGATTCAGAGGAAAGGCTTGCCTCAGTCATGACTGGATTAAGGGATTCAGAGGAAGTCATCAAGAGCCTAGATTTCTTGCCATATCTGAGCTCTGATTCTTTTTGTGGATGGACTCTCCACATGGTAAAAAAGATAGCTACTGGGTTTGGTACAAATCCAAACGGAAGAGAAATGCTTTCTTTCTCAGAATCCATGTATCAAATCTCATACGGAGGATCTGACTGGATCTACTTGATCATGTGTTCATGGCCATGGCCAGGGCAGGCTGGGCACTGTGGCTTCCAGGCACATTACAACCTCAGGTGATGTGGGACAAAGAAACAGAGGTCTGCTACAGCAGAAAAAAGACTTGAGAAGTTTTGCTTCCTGCCTCTCTTCTGCTGACTTCTCAGTATTGTCCCTAAATCTGTCTATTGCTCCCTTCATACCTTTAGAAAACCTATTTTCATCTTCCTTGGCAATTTTCACAAGCTTTGCTTTATTCCCTTGGTATTAGTTTTCGTTTGTTTGTGGTTCCATGTTGGAACTTCCATTCTTTATAAAGGACACCTTTGAAATGTCTCTGTTTATCTGAGAGCTGATTGAGCTGCCAAATGGTTTCCTGAGCTGCCTCTCACTCACGTTCATGATTAGATTCTCAGAACCGTGTGTTTACAAGCATAGAGTCCTTCTTTGTGTTCCCGGTCTCTGGCCATGAGACTCTGACTGCATCTTCTCTCTGAAACTTGGGAAACCTGTCTTCTTTTAGTTTAGGCAAATATCTAGCTTTGCCCAAGGTCCAAAGCTTTGGCTATCACAGACTGTAAAATGCTCTTACTGGTTTTCCCTCTTTCTTGAGGATTCTATCATTTCCGCTTTGCCAACTAGTATTTTCCTTATTTGCCAGTATCATGTCCTAAACAGTAATTCCCTTCCTCACTTTTTCTGCCTTCTAAAAGATGAAGTTGTCAGTAAGGTGCATTCAATCCTTTACTGTTAGCAGACTGACTTCCTGGAGATATCTAGATAAGATATCCTTCATTGCTCTGTGTCTTGCCTCTGTTTCTGCGCTAGATTTGTGATCCACGTCAGCATGTGATCTACTCTTTCTTTCTGCCTGGAGTGGCTGTTTTAGCAACCATCAAACCCACCTTATCCCCTCCAATATTGATATCATTTTGATACTCTTTCCTTTTATCTCTACCCATCCCTAATTTTGCGGTTTTCTGAAAGGTATATATCTTCTTGACACAGGGTCCTACTCCCTTTGCACAAGAGTGCATTTCATAAGAGTTGCCACTTGTGAATCTTATTTTGCCAAGATGCAATATCGTCTATGAGAGGTGTTGGTTTCTTGTATGAACATCAAATTATATGCTTGGTATATTGGTAGTCACAGAACTAGGAACCTAAGTGCTATGTCTTACTGCCTCCCGAAGTATTTTCTCCTGTGAATTACTAGGTACATTCAACACTGGTTTCATACTTAGAGTTTTACCTGGGCATTCCCCTTCTTTTTGTTTGTCTTTCACTCTTTTCAATTTAAAATCCTCTAGAACAAATTGACAAGTATCCCAGTGAACACATCCTTCTCTTTAGAAAAATTGATCAAATCTCATTACAACAAATGCAAAGGAAGAATTCTCATTTTTTTTCTTGTTCTATTGGGTATGTGTACTGTCAAATAATACTTAAAAAAAGTGGGCCTATAGATTGGGCTTATAAAATTCCTTCATCTATAATGATTCTTGTAATGGAGACTCATAGTATATTTGAGTTGTGGCTGGTGTTTGGTTTGACTCAATACAACACAATACACTCAAAGCTATTCACATCTACAGAACATGCTCCATATGGGGCTTTTAAAGACTTTCTTCCTTTTTTTTGTTTTTTTAAAGATTTTATTTTTTCTTTTTCTCCCTATATCCCCCCGGTACATAGTTGCATACTTTTAGTTGTGGGTCCTTCTAGTTGAGGCATGTGGGACACCGCCTCAGTGTGGCCCGACGAGCAGTGCCATGCCTGCACCCAGGATTTGAACCAGCGAAACCCTGGGCTGCAGCAGCACAGCACGCAAACTTAACCACTTAGCCACAGGGCTGGCCCCTAAAGACTTTCTTATCCCCAAGGGCTGAAGCAGCATAGCTGGAGAAGTGAAAACTGGCCCAGCAGTAGTAACAGCAGATCTTTTCTGAAGCATGGCCAACAGCTGTGAGGTCTGAGGGCTCACAGATAGAGAACAGGAAGGAGGGTCTCTATCTCTGCCTTCTTTTGTCTCTGTCTCTGGAGTTTGCTCCTGCCTCTGCCCTATCTCTCTCTACTTTTGCTCCACTCACAGACATTTTGTTTGCTTTTACCCGATCTCTGACCTTTGTTGTGAATCCTGGACTTAAATAAATCCTTGGTTTGTGCCTGCCATTGGCCCTGCCCCAGACTCTTCAATCTCAATATCTGCGCTCTCCTTGCAGCCAAGGGTCCTAGGAACAATGGCATTCTGAATTTGATGTAAGTTTTAGAGCAGCATGCCTGAAGACAATCAATGTTAAGTGTTTACCAGTTTCCTTTGCATTTCCTGGGGTGAAGGTGGAGAATAACTGGCATCAAATATTTAGAAAATAATTAAGGGAATCTTAAGCTGCTTTATTTGAGTGCATCTCCCAAAATACAGATAAAATCCATTTCAAGGATCTGACAGACCATAGAGATGAGGGTCCCATGGTAGAGGAACTGGGATTTGCAATGGGTAAGACTCAACCCATAATTTGGCCAAGCTGCCTAACCTTGGATGAGTCACTTATCATCTCTGAGCCTTTGTTTCCTTATCTCTAAGACGAGGATGTCAGTGTCTATTGTGTCAGGTTAGGTCTCTGGCAAACAGACTCCTAGAGGAAGTCAGTGTGCAGGAGCATTAAGGGAGATCCTTGGGATCAACTCCTATGAAGATAAGGGGGATGAAATCAGAATTGGGCAGAGAGTAAAGTCAAGCTGGAGTTATTCTGCACTGATCTGAAATGCCTGAATCTTTATACCTGTCTTAGTCAGCTTGGGCTGCTACCACAAAAATACCATAGACTGGGTGACTTAAAAAACAAAGATTTATTTCTTACAGTTCTGGAGGCTAGGAAGTCCAAGATCAAGGCACCTGCCAATTCAATGTCTGATGAAGGCCCATTTCTTGGTTCTAAGATAGCTGTCTTCTGGCTGTGTGCTCACATGGCAGAAGGGGCAAGGGATCTCTGTGATGCTTCTTTTTTAGGGCACAAATCCCGTTCATGTGGGCTCCGCCATCATGACCTGAGCACCTCGCAAAGGCCCCACTGCCGAATATGATCATACTGGGGATTAGCTTTCAACATATGAATTTTGGGGGACACAAACATTCCATCTATAGCAATACTCTTGCCTTCATGCATCATTGGATGTGAGAAACTTTGGGACGGGTGTGACCAAGTGACCCCTGAAGGGGCTGAAGAATGTCTACTGACAGCACTCTGAGCAGCAGCGAAAAAGTGATTCCTTGAAGGGAGATCTTTGTGTGTTCCTCACCAATTTAATAGGGATCTTCAAGAGAATTTATTTTGTTAACTGTAAAACTTTCTACAAACTGTAATTTTATAATCAATACCATGATCATCAAACATTTATTAAGGGTTCGCTCTGTGGTAGGTACTTGATATGAATAAAAATATTGAGCCCCCTTTTTTTTTCTTAAATGTACCTTGTTTCTTCCTTTAAAATCGATAGTTCTACATCCATTGCAGCAGTCCTTAATCAACCATCAAAGGATCAGGCCACAGTTCACAAGTACATATTTATGGATGCTAACTATGTGCAGGACTTGGGAAAATAAATTTTTCTGCCATAAAGTTATTCCTTGGCATTTTAACGCTATAAATGGCGGAATATTTATGGGAATCATTAAGCAGGATAATTGCTAATACGTAATTTTAAATATACTATGACATCATTATAATAATGAAATTTACATATTTTAGTACTTCTTGAAGAACAAAATTAAAAATACCTTTAAGTAAAAACACTTGAAGAATACATAAATAGTAGTACAATAACCGAGCCTCAGGAAAAAAATAAAGGGAAATGCCATTTGATAGGTTTTATTATCAATCATGGAGCCAAAAATAAGTCATACGTAATGGAATTTCATTGTATGGCAGTGGAAATTTCCCCCAGAGTTTTATTAAAAGGTGTAACATAGTTTGAACTCCTCAGTGAGGTCAATGGGCCTCTCCAAGGGCTGAGTTAGCATTTTAAGTAAATACGTTAATTTCTGAGTTCAACAAAGGAAAATGCTACTTTTAGCGCATTTCCAATTTAAAACAATCTTTTTACTCTATTACTTTAAACTAGTCAGTGGAATCCAACCAAATATTTTGATTGGTTATGTTTAAATTTGTATTTCCTCAACAATTTGAGAGCAGTTTGCTTGTTAACTGATCCCAGTAAGAAGATTAAATTACTAGTCCATGAATTAATTAAAAGTGCAGTAGATGTTGATACAGAGCTTAGGATAAATAATAATTGTGCTCATTTTGTATTTTCATTGTGTTCTACGTTTTCAAAAGGATAAACAATGTACTCTCTGGTTACTTTTTAAAATATGTTAGACATAACTATGCATGCAAATGAAGCAAAGAATCAGAAAATACAGAAAATCCATTTTCACACTTCCAGTACCCTCTCTTTAAAAACCACGCAGGAATACAATACTGTATGATCTTACCACTCAAAACCTGAGCCCTGGACCTGTAGAGTTGGCATCTCCTGGTTGCTTCTTAGAAATGAAGGATCTCAGTTCCCACCATAAATTGGCTGAATCAGAACCTGCATTTTAACAAAATCTCCAGGTGATTTACGTGCATATTAAAGTTTGAGAATCATTACTCTACAAATCTTTTGTCTCTAACAAATTAAATTCAATTCCATTTTTTTCTTAAATTATCCAAATGACTGCTTCCTCCCTTTAGTTGTAGGAATAAGTATGAATATAAAGTATTCTGAGGCATAAAACTCAGTACGGAAATGTCAATTGTTAAACTTAATTTCTTTTTTAGTAACTAAGTAATTAAGGTGTAGTTAATTAAGGTATAGGGTAAAGTTAGGAAGCTTCTCTTTGAATAAAAATGCTCAAGCTTTCTAATTATAAAATATGATTAATAAGCCTAATTTTATTTTTGCATATCTTTGACTTTTTCCATCAGAATGTTTTCTTAGAATGTTAAATGGAGGATTCAGGAAGCAAGCAGAGAAAAAATTCCCATCCAATAACATTATTTGACCACTGCTTATATTGAACGATCACCCTATGAACTATTTTCTCATTTCTTTGCATTAGTGAAATTTTGAAACCATGCTGTCCTCCACTTACTGATTTCCAGCAGGTAGGATAAGAGGATTTGCAATCCTGCTCAGTTTATGATTCTCATATTATTGACTTTACTCAGCAAAGAGATGGAATAGGATCTCAAATGGAGTGAATGTTAAGATTAAAGCCCTTCTTATGTCATTTAGAGATTGTGTTCAGATTACAGATATTTGACCTTGAGTCACAGTGGTTGCTTTATTATCTGATCATGGTGCCTCCAATAAGGGGTTGTCCAATGCTTTCAGCACATTACCTGCCTACGTGATTCTAAAGCTTGCTTCAGAAGATCTCTCAGCATGGTTAGAAAAAGGTAAAGAGCTCAAGTAAGCAAGCTATATTTACCAGCAACAAACAGCAGTCCCTAGAAATGTTCTACCCGGCACATTAATCTATAAAGTGATGGCTCTAATTGTATGAGAATAGAACTGATTTGCTATTTAAAAAAATATTTATTAGTTTTATTATGAGCAGGTAATACTCTAATGCTGATAATAATAGAGACTTCTATCACAGTCTTGTTGCAGTCTACACAAATATGTCGGCAAAAATGATAGTATTTCTACACTAAGATAGCTTAGCCAGACTCAAACTCCCCACGGTATATGGTATATTCTGAAATGGGAAACCACAGAAAAGAGAGAATGCCTAGGGCAGCTTGAGCAAGATTGATCGATGAAGTTAGATACGATTTGAGGCCAAAATAAGGAAAGTTTGGTATGACTGCGAAGTCTTATTCAGGTGGTTCAAGTTAGTGAGAATTTCAACCCAAAACACTGAGACTAGGCAATCAATCAAGGACACCAAGATAGGTGGCCGGTAATAAGGAGGCAATAGACAGTAACATTTGAACTTGGAGAATCAAGATTTCTTGCAGGTGCAGTTATATTAACGAAGAGGACAACGCTTAGGTTACACACTCACAGTTAACCCTAAAATTCAGGTTGCTAAATAATGGAGCTTTTACTTTTCTTTGTGGGAGTCTCCCCACACCCATTGCCACCCTGTTTCCTAACACAATGCCTTACATGCCAGAGGTGACTATTATTTATTTGTTAATGAGGGTGAATTTTTAAGAATATTTTAGGAAATGATGACCATAACGTGACCTCAGATAAGGGCATAATAATAGATATAACAGATCTGTTACTGAATTCTGTGATAAACTTAAATAAAACAGTAGCCAAGCTTTGGTTGTGCCACTTAAGAGTATATTTGCAGGGGCTGGCCCCGTGGCCGAGTGGTTAAGTTCGCGCGCTCCGCTGCAGGCGGCCCAGTGTTTCGTCGGTTTGAATCCTGGGCGCGGACATGGCACTGCTCGTCAGACCACGCTGAGGCAGCGTCCCACATGCCACAACTAGAGGAACCCACAACGAAGAATACACAGCTATGTACCGGGGGGCTTTGGGGAGAAAAAGGAAAAAATAAAATCTTAAAAAAAAAAAAAAATTTAAAAAAAAAATAAAAAGAGTATATTTGCAGATCCCAGGTTCTCTCTCTTTTTCTCTTTCAAACACAGTTGAGAAACGCTTGCAGCTCTGGCAAAAAGACATAAGGCAAATGCAGATCAGAGAAACATCTAGGTATTATATTTTCTTAGCCACTGATATGGAACGAGGCATCATAATAGAGAGCAGTTGGCTGTCTTACAGAAATAGAAAACGATTTGATATATTTTTTGGTCACCATTCAATGACAATATTTTTAGATGTTTTCCATATCACCAAAGCACTTCTATCTTAACAACATTGTATGATAATGGACTTAGACAACAGAGTTCAAATTATTATAATAAGGTCACACCAGATTCATCTGGGCTATGAAAGTCAGGACGTAAAAATAGACTGGTCTTAATATGTGACTCACCCTCAAGAGAGTATGTGCTTCTACAGTGGCAGTAATTGATCTGCCCGGATCCATTTCTACTCTCTTGTCTAGCAGCAGTCCCTGGTGGTGTGCTCATGTTCACTGGGCATTTGTGACAGGCAGCGTCTGACTTACAGACAGTACTTGGGGAGGGAAGGAGCAGTTACAAGGCCTATTTTAACAGGTATGGAATGACTGGTGAGATTATTGAAATCGAGGAGAATCTTAAATACAGATCATACCTTTATTAATATACAGGCAATGAGAGTGATCGTTACTAGGATAATAATTCCATAAAGAAATATGGGGTTGCCATTGCAGAACTTTGGAAACTAAGTAAATGGCTTATCTGATATATTATTATGGATTGCAAATATATTATCAGTTGCAAAGTTATTAGTTAAGTGTAACAACTAGCCCAGGTGACATATGAGTCTGCCATAATAGAGAGAAAAAAGAATAAAGTCTTCCACAACATTAGTGGAAAGGGGGAGCAAAGTGCTAAAAGGAGCAAGTGTTGAGTCAAAAAAATAAAAAGAGATGACATGAAGAGGATAAGACATAAATGGCAATTGGGAGAATCTAAATTAAAGTTGATATTTGTCTACCTTAAAACTTGGTTCATTTATTACTTAGGAGCCATTTGGTTTTTTTTTGTTTTTTACAAAGTTGAAGTACCTCAGTCATTCATTCAGAGTCTATGGGTAAAGATAAGATGAAATAGAAGCTGTTCCATGTCTCTCAGACTGAGGTGAGGGTGGAAAATGAAGAGTTTATCCAGAGTCAACATTAGTTGAGCAAATTGTTGTTCTATTAGAACTCTGTGTAAGAAGGCATTTTATAAAAATTTGAGAAAAGATTTTCTCTACTCTGACAGTCCAAGTGGGAACTAAAAGCATGCATGCATGTTCTCTCTATAGAACACTAAGCCAGTGCAAATAGGTCCAATTGGAATTATATTTAGGTTAGGCCACTAAGAAGTGAACCTCTAAGAAGACTGTCACTGATATTTGAAATGACATTTATGGCCAAGTTGGCTCACTGTCCTTCAAAGATTCACGCTTCCCTTCTTTAATATGGCATTGTCGGTAGGATGCACCTGCCTAGTCAGGAGCTACAACTAGGTGAAGCCTTGTGTCTGCTTCCCACTAATGGAAGGCAGGCAGAAGTGATATCTTTCTCTTCTCCACCTTCTCTTTCACCATCTATTGCTGAAAGCAAGAGATTTCCAGGCCTCAGAAGATGGTGTGGCCATGAGATGGTAGGAGCCTGGGGCCATGAATCACTGCATGGAAAGCCACCTCTCTAACTCCTGCATTGAACTATTCATGAGCAAGGAGATCATTTCTATGGTGTTAAACTACTAAGATTTTCTGGACTGTTTATTATAGCAGCCTTTGTATCATTTGTGTTGTCACTGACTAATTACCCCAAGGAATTCAAGGGAGCTTTCAGAAGCATTTAACTGTTTTTCCAAATTGTTTTTTTTGTTAAGAGATGCAACCAACAAACACCCTGAACCAGACGGAACCCCGCTGCAAGAGCAGCACCATTGCAGATGAACTGAGAGTTGCCACCTGAGCCTGTGCAAGTGGATGCCCATATCTCCCTTTTGAATATTCATTCCCCACCTGAAATAAGAGGTGCCTGCTTCCCTGTGTTCAGGGACTGCCATGACTTTGGAAACAATTCCACATGGCCTCCTATTTGCTGCAAATAAATGCTACTTTGTGTGAAAACTACTTCCAGTCGAGAGTCTGATTTTAACTCGCTAGGAGGTGAACTCACTTTTGGTTCAGTAACACAGTGTGACTTCCAGATTTAGTTATTTCTCTTTGCATTCAAATCGTCAGGAAAAATAAAGATTACTTGGAACCATAGGATTAGGTGATCAATTTTCTTGGGTTTTCCAGTTGAGCATGATGGCATGGCTCCAAAAGTGGAGCCACTTTAGTCCCTAAAAAGTGGAGCTGCCTTTTTACATAACATTCCTTTCTCCAACAACCTTGTTTGTTTACATTTTTCTCACTAAACCTTATCTTTGTCCTTAGTAACCCACACAGATTTCCAAACCTCTGCTAAAGACTGGTGGGTTTGACTTCTAGGCTAATTTTATCAGTTTCTCATTTTCAAGTTTTATGTAAATTCACAAACCAACCAAAGGACTTTTACCTCCTTAAACTAACCCTTATTGAAAACCTAAGTGCCCATCAATGGATGAATGGATAAAGAAAATGTAGTGTATATATACACAATGGACTCAACCAGAAAAAAGAGATGAAATCGTGCCATTTGCAACATGGATGGACCTCGAGGGTATTATGTTAAGTGAAACAACTCAGATAGAGAAAGACAATTACCATATGAATTCATTTATATGTGAAAGATAAACACACACACATATATAGAGAACAGAACAGTGGTTACCAGAGGAGCAGAGGGTCAGGGGAAGGGGAAAGGGGTAAAGGGGCACACGTGTATGGTGAGGGGTGGCAACTACGCTTTTGGTGGGAACATGATGCGGTCTATACAGAAATCGAAAGATAGTGATGTGCAACTGAAATGTATATATAATATTATAAACTGATGTGACCTC